AATTTCTTACTTATTTATAATGTGGCAGTGAAGAGTGTGCATACATTGCAGTGTATATTGAACTTTATCAAACAAAGTATGCGGTGACTGCCTAAAAAATTTGGAAGTGTGGAATGGTCATGGCAGTGTGACATAAAAAAATCTCCAGCAATCCATTTCTCAAATCACTAATTAATTGAATGCCCATAAATTATTACTAAAACAAATCAAAATATCATTTATACCACAAAAAAACTAAAACAAACTCCAAACAGCTGACATACGAACATTAAAATATCCAATGTATCAAAAAAAATTCTATTGCTTTCTGGATTCTTCCTTCCTCTCATAGCTATAAGCTAAAAGTTCTGTTGTCATTTTAACCCGGTAACCTTACATGTCACATTATTGCACTTCATTTATGCTTAAATCCATCATTAGAAACTCTGTGAATTTCACTACAAACATACCACAATTACACCTGCATTTGTATAAAAAATTCAAAGTCAGCAAACATTTTGTACTGCCTACATTTTCAACACAGGTAAGGTCACTCTCACAAAATCATAATAGTTAACTACCACAGTCCATATATTGTGGCATTGTATTTCAGACATTGAATTTTTGACAGTGCATATATTGTGGTAGTGTATTTCAAACATTGAATTTTTGGAAGTACATATTGTGGCTAACATTATGGCAGTGTATATATTGTGGCAGTGTATATACTGTGGCAGTGTATATATAATACAAATTTGTTTAATTAAGGGTAATATTGGGAATTCATCTCAAAAACTTATAGCACTGCTATTTTGCGTATTATAAGCCTATTAAAGTGCTATATTCGTATTTCTCCCTTAAAAATATAGTAAAATAGAAGTTTCATATTTTTATTCTCGAATCATGATCATGTACATTACCAAAAAAGCATAATAAAATATACATGTACAATATCACATTACCAAACAGTGCGAAGTCCTATTTAACAAATAAAAACATAGAACTCCTGTTTTTTATTTTTGTATGTTTTACTCCTATTTAGAGTTATTTTATTTAAGTAGATACGAGTAAAATTTTCACGTGTATGAAGTTAAGTAGGGAATAATACCTTACTCTGAATTAATCGTCTCATTTTTTCTAGCTTGCTTTAAATAATTGTTTCAATTCTTTAATTTTTTAATAAAGTAAAGAACAAGTGGTCTACAATCATTTTTTCCTTTAATCAAATTCCAATAACTCACTTCTATTTTTCAATATTTTTCTAAAACTTTGTAAAATCAAATTTGAACAATCAAATCTTGAATGAATAGTTAAGAGGGAAAAAGGGTCTCCTAATCTCCTCTTCTCCTTTTTGTGATGGAGTCTTTTCACCTTTTGGATAATTCAATTCAGCTATGTGACTCTTTTCTCCTTTTGAATGACTCTTTTCTCCTTTTAAAAAAGTGAGGAAGTATATGACAACACTTCATAGAAAACATGATACTCTATAGAATTAAGCCACTGCTACACAAAAATTGTGCTTCAAATTATAGACCACAAATGTGTGTTTTCATTTTGTATTTGTGTAATGCTTGTTTGATGGTATATACTAGCACAAAATATTAATACATATTTTTTTGATCGCACTAGCATTTTGTGTGTGTATGAATCATGAAAATGTTAATACATAGTTTTGGTATATAATTTGGGGTAGAGCCCTTGGTGTACCTCTAACTCCATAATAAATTAATAATTGTCCTTCACGATTGTTTCGTCTTTTTGTATAGCTATTGATGAATTAAACAAAATCTCAAACAATGTTTTTCGCTAAAAAATGGATGAATCTCATTTCTTAGGGTGCTACAAGATGTGTAGACAATTCTTTGATTGTCCGGTTCTATGGCCACTCACTTTCAGTGGCCACGAAGAATATTGTCTCAATTGTAACACCTCGTTTGTAAAATTGATTGTTCCTACCCCTAACGCCTTTGGTAAACTCCGACCTAGTCACGATCCCACCCCATTCCCACTCACGTCAATTACGGGGCGCAAGTTTAGTTAACTTTAAAGTTAAAAAAATTAACTCCAAAGTCAACTAAACTTGCACCCCGCTATTGATCTGATGTGAACGGGGGATGAGTTGAGGTCGGGAATGAGTGGAGGAAGATTACCAAAAGAGTAGTAACAATCAATTTTACAAATGGAACAACGTAGAAGGACATTGTCCTCAATGCCTACTTAAAGTGAGTGGCCATAAAAATTGGGTGATTCTTTGATAGAAGATGAAAGATAAATGTTATTGTGGACCTAAAGTTCACATATTTTTATGTGAATCTACAAGTTAGGGTGATAAGCAAATGATGTAAATAACTTTCTCGAAACACTAACATTAATCGCTAGCATCGTTTGAAACAGTCCCTACATATTCTTTATTTATATTAGCTTCCTCTGTCCGGAAATATTCTTCCCGTGTTGACTTGGCACGCTTATTAAGAAATAGTAAAAAAAAATGTCAAATTTCCAAAAATGCATATACTCTAAACTTTTAAATCTCTTTTTCTTATTAAAAAAGCAATAAAAAAGTGGATTAGTGACAAAATAGAAGAGTATTATTGAAATTTATCCTTAAAAAATATAAAAAAAAAGGAAATGAGAAGAATGTTTTCGGACGAGCTAAAAAAGAAAGTGAGAAGAATATTTCTGGACGAGCTAAAGGAAATGATGTTTATAAATACATTCGGTCTGAAAGTGGAGTACAATTAATTAAGGTACGTACTTAATTTTTTTTATGTCTGTTATCAAGTCACATCGTAGGAGGAATTGGTCGTTACATAAACCCCACCCCCTCCTCCGATCCATCTACCGTCTACAAGGCAAGACACTCATCATCTTAGCTGCACTGGGGACTTGAATTTTTCCGGTTACAGCTGGAACTACACACTAACCTCTTCCATTTTATTTCTCCGTTCCCATTCCCCCCCCCCCCCGGCGACATTCCGTCACAGTTCACACTTATGCCCGCCCCACAGGCAAATTAGATCCACGAACACACCTTAACATGAAGCACCATCCAAACCATCAGCGTCCGTCCGAGGTGAATTTTTTCCTCGTTAGCTCATAATTTTGTTTTCCCCCACACAATTTCTTTGGTTTTGTTTCACGGGGAAGAGGAATTGCAGAGGAGTTGGGCTGAACTGTTGTGTTTCGGTTGCGCGTGCGTGCAGCTTTTCTGGCCGCGCGTGGTGGTGCGCAAGTGGCTCAACATCACCGCCAAAGGTTCAGACTTTAGCGCCGATGCCGATTCAGATTGCGACTCCGATTCCGATCAAGGTTCCTTCACCCCCCCCCCTCCCATTTTCGTTCTATTCATTGGATTCTTTATTGATGTTGAGATTGACTGTCAACCTGACTTCCCAGATGAATGTAAGTGGCCACCGGAGCCGCGGTTGAAGGATGCCGGAGGAGGTGAAGCTGAAAGGGGTGCAAATGGTAAACCTAATCCCCAAATTTTATGTTTAATTTTGTCCTTAAAGCTTTGTGATTTAACTACAAGTAGTAGACATTCAAGTGTTGAATTGGTGTGTGTTGTTAGAAACATGTGTTATCTTTTACTTTCCTTTTATGTGCGTCCCAAAATTATATACCAAACCAACTCTGAATAATTTGAGAATTTCAACCCTTTCGGAGCCCGGGTCGTACGTCATGATATATGCAACCTTACCCTCTAAAAAACAATAGAGTGGTTTTTTTTTAAAATTTAGCAGCAAGGGAAGTTTAAGTGCCAATACAATTTAGTCTATTATTTAACTGATGCTAAAGCATAGTCAAGGGTGGCTCTTTTAGCTCTATTGGAAAATGGAAATTGAATTTCGTCTAGGACTTTAAAGCTAGTGAACCATAATTAAAGAACCACGTGCATTTAGAAATGAAGTACATCTATTGCCTATGGCATTAATGATGTTTCTTGATCTATATACCCTGGAGTATATGCATATCTACATCTCTGCCTTTCAATATTTATTTATTTGAGCTATAATTTTGATTTCTTACCTTTTTTGGTAATGTATTTCATCTCACTGCTATGTGATTTTCACCTTGAATCATTCTTTTCTATGACTGTTTTGGATATTCAGAAGCTGTTCTCAGGATAAGAAGACGAAAGTCTGAGACACTTAGGGCGCAATATATAAACACAAAAGAAATTAGGTATGAGTACTTTCACATATAGGGATATTGTATTGTCCAAACATTACATGGTTACATTAGTTATGCTAGCCTTTGAATGACAATCGTTACGTTCCATGCTTGCATTGGCAGAGTATGCGCTGGCACATGGAATGTAGGCGGAGAAGGTCCTCCTGATGATCTAGATCTTGATGATTGGTTAGATGTTGACAAGCCAGCTGATATTTATGTGCTTGGGTAAACACCAACTTTATTGAGTGCTTTTTTCTTGAATATTACATGTGAAGATTCGCGAGGATATCATTTTGAGTTACTTTTCCATTCCTAACACAATTGGTTTTCCCGTCCATTGCCTATGGAAAGAAGAGTCATTATTGACAATGTTTTAGCCTCGGGCATATAATAGACCAACTCAAAATGGAACATTACACTTCCCTTGCTTCTTACTTTCTTTGATGTTTTGGGCAGTAAATTCAACAATGCATCTAGGGTTTAACTGAAAAGCCTCTATGTTTTTGCAAGGCTAAGGCTGCGTATATGAGACCACAACGGTGTTGGGATTATATCGGGTTGTTGTTGTAATGCACTAGGTTGTCAATTCATTTTCTCATATTGCTAAATGCCCATATTGCTTTTTATGGAAATTTTCTGTCTCACTTATTTATACTGGAGACGGTTTATATCTACAGATTTCAGGAAATCGTTCCTTTAAATGCTGGTAATATATTTTGCATTGAAGATAGCCGCCCTATTCCAAAATGGGAGAACATCATTCGAGCAACTCTCAATAAAATCCCACCCGTGAATAAGTTCAAGTCACATAGTGACCCTCCTTCTCCGTCGAGGTTTAAGCCATCTGAAAGTTTTTATGATACTGAAGAAGAAATTACACCAGAGTTTGATAGTGACGATGATGAGGAATTCGTTGCTTCAAATGAAGAATGTGATGAATCTGTTGAAGCGAGTGACTTAAATTTGTCAGGAAATGGTTCAATTGTCCGTGCCGTTGTATCTGCATCCGGTGATAGTCATGAGTTGACAGCGCCAGTCACAGCGGGGGTTGAGAGGCCACTTCCTTCCTCAAAGAGATTGGAGAGGTTGAACTGCTTCAGACCTGACGAATCTGATGAAAACATAGAAGAAAGTTCAATTCATTATGACAAGAAATTAACTAAAACTCTCACGGGAGTTCAGAAGATTAGTCTGAGTTGGCCAGAGCCGCCACTATATTATCTTCATCATCAGCGTGTTTTAGAAATTCCTGCTTCCATCTCAGTTGGAACATACAGTTCTCTCATATCGACCTCACATGGTCATAATAGACTGCCTCCTGATGTGGCTTTGCTTGCAAAACTGGACCTTGAATCTTTAATAAAGTGTAAAAGATCACCATATGTGAGGATAATAAGCAAGCAATTAGTTGGCATTTTCTTAACTATATGGGTCCGTAGGAGTTTGCGGAAACATATACAGAATCTGAACGTTTCAACAGTTGGTGTAGGCGTAATGGGCTTCATAGGTAACAAGGTTTGCTCTTTTCTTAAACTCTCAGCTTTCTACTATGCATGTTCTATGCCAGTTGATATCGTATCAACTGTATCTTTTAGTGCTGATGATCATATAAACTAGATCATTTTTAATCTGCAATAATGGTTGGTCACGCATTGATTTCTCATTGAGAAGAGGATGTAGTGACTAGTGAGACACTAAATGAACCAATGTTTCTGCGAGTTAGAGCAACACTTCGTTCTCTAGTATGTTAGGCATGACACACTAGTTAAATTTGTAACAGACTATTATATGACCACATATTATATAGGTTTCACCATTAGACCCGACCTTATTTATTTAGACAAACTTAAAAACGAAGAACATGTGTGTAACAGTAACACGTATCTTATCTTAAGATATAGTTTTGCTTATGTTGATAGATTTTCACTTACTAAATTGCAGCTTGAAATTCTTTAACGTGCCAATTCTTCTCTATTCCAGGGATCGATATCAGTTAGCATGTCTGTGTACCAGACTCTCTTCTGTTTCGTTTGTACCCACTTAACATCAGGTGACAAAGATGGGGATGCAGTCAAAAGAAATGCCAATGTGCATGAAATTCATCGAAGGACACATTTCAATACAGAACCCGGTGGTGGCCTTGCTAAATGTATAAATGACCATGAGTAAGTATATTACAGGCTAATTCATTGAATCTACTTTCTCACTCTATAAGTAGATTTATAAATACGTAGTTGCAAAATTCAAGCTTAGGTGAACTGTAATTTTGTTTTCTTCCCTTTTCTTAATATCAAAACTAGAAACTTACATTTTTGCAGGAGAATAATCTGGATGGGGGATTTAAATTATCGTATCAACTTATCATATGAAGAAACACTGGAGCTAATATCCAAAAAAGACTGGCCTAAGTTAATTGAGAGTGATCAGGTTAATATGGATACATTGCTTATTACAATTTTTTTGAACATTTATATAATTAATTTTTCTGGTCAATGAGGCAGCCAAACAATTACAAAATACTTCTGAATATTTATGATTTATGTTATGACACCATGAATTTGAAAGTTTTGTTGTATCTTGGGGCTAAAGGAGATAAACTTTCACATTTCCATTTCTACCATGCAAGAATTTCTAAGACAATAACGGTTTTGGACTTTCGTTTTGTCATTCCTTCATAAAAAGGTTGCAACATGAAGGGCGTCCCTCATAGAAATTCTGTCACAAATTCACAATGTCTTTTCTGTGTTATATATGAGTGTAACGTTTCTAATCCCAAGAAGGTGAAAGAAATTATATTCTTATTATCCAAGAGTAATTATGATCAATTTTGGGTAGGATTCCTTCACCAAAAATACATCGTAATTCGATTCTTACTTTCAAGACTTGAATCCTTCAAGAGAACGATTTTTCCCAAGCCCAAGGTCACCATATCTTATGTTCTGCCTAAGAATACAGAGTAATACACAAATGAACGAGGCCAACCATAGTATTTTCCTACCTTGGCCTAATTTTAAATTCCAATCAGGAAAAGTATCCTTAATCATATTTTACTTCATCTCTGAGTAAATGAGGGATGGTCTCTTCACATGTGTTGAAAATTTATTCCTTGATTTTTTTTCCCTCTTGGTCGGTTTGGCTGATTTGAGAGGTTAATAGTCAACAAATTACACCTTAGAAATGAGCAAGACGCATGTGTAACATGTGTGAAGAACAGAAGAATAAGGGGAGAAAGTGAATAGTATTTTGTTCTTATGTCTTCAAGGTAATTTTGACTCATCTTAATCTCACATGGGTCATATTATTCCTTCAATGTTCTGCACATGAATTGAGCAATTAAGTTCTTTGTTAGTTGGGGAGGCACATGGACGAAATTCTATGATCAATGCAGACAAAATTAATTAACTTTCATTGAATTGAATAATAATTTGTCTTTAATCAAACTCTGTGTTTTGTCTATAGCTATATAGCAAACAAGTGAGAATATGGAACAAATTTATGTCATAGTTTATAAAAAAGTACTGGGTTTTGCTGTATTGATGAATATATTGAATATACTTTTCCAGCTGACCAGAGAGTTCAGGAAAGGGTGTGCCTTTGACGGATGGTCCGAAGGCATTCTGAAATTTCCACCAACATATAAGTACGAAAGAGACTCAGACAAGTACCATGGGGAGGATCCAAGAGCCGTGAGGCGTACCCCAGCATGGCAAGTATCATTTTACATGTCAAAATCAAAAAGAAACATATGTGTATCCTCCTCATCTGCACATAGTACGATAATTTCTTGAACGGTTGCTAAATGGTGGGGAAAAAAAATTCTTGAACAGGTGTGACCGGATACTTTCATCAGGGAAGGGAATGCGGTTGCTGAGATACAGGAGATGTGAACTTAGGCTTTCTGACCACAGGCCGGTGACAGCTACTTATATGGTAGAGGTTGAGGTGTTCTCAGCCAGGAAGCTGCAGCGAGCCCTCACTTACACTGATGCAGAGATTGAGAACGAGGAAGTCGTCACGCATTCTTTCCATTTGACAGAATGATCCTGAGACCCAATTGATGTCACTGATGGTTTGTTTGATCCTTGATTGTATAGGTTAGCACTGCATTTCGTCTTATGGTATAGGTTCTCTTTGCTGTAAATCATTGTTATATGTTCTAGGCTTGATCCCAATATATAATCCAAGTTTTATGAAAGGGCACTTATTAAGTGTTCCATGGATTATCCCTTGTTTGGTAAAGTTTGTCTCACACAAATATTATTTTAGTAAAATTAATAGTTGTGTTAATAGACTGATTACCAAACAAATATTCCAACAAATTGTATCCAAAAGCAACTGAACAATTTGGTCTCCTTTGTTGTATCCCAAAAATTTTATCTTGTAATCCTTGCGGTTCATAATAGGGTAGATTAAAAAATTGAAAAATATATTCATTGATCACGCGTCTTGAAGATTTATCTTGTTAACTTTACCAATCATATTCTAAATCACATGTGGCTTGTCCCCTTCATTGTGATACGTAAACAACTTAGAATATAATGTTTTTTTTTCTAAATCCAGTCTCAACAATAGAATTATTTTTATTGTTGGAAGTGAAGCTTTCTCGGTGGAGAGTGGAGATTCATAATTGGATCGTGATACGGTATCGTATCGGAATAAGGAAGTTTGAGCCCCTTCGAGCTATAGAATTGAGGAAAAAGAAGAGATTGAGAAGGGAAAGTGGAAGACAACGTTGATCGACGATAGGAAAATATTTCTTTATTGATTGAATAAATAACTAACCATAAATACCAAACTACCTATAATAATAATAATAATAATAATAATAATAAGCATAAATAATAATAATAATAATAAGCATAAATAATAATTACCTAATAATAATACTAAATATACTAAACGTAGTCCCGTAACAATGCACTAGATTGTAAAACTCGATCTTGTAAGCAGCAAACTATGGCAAAATAAATGTGGGAATTAAGTAGATGAATGAAACAATATATGCTTTGTTTGTAAAATAAAAGAGTCATATAAATTACAGTATAATTTTAATGCAACGAAGATGATATTGAAATATTAGTTCGCACACAAATTCTTTAGGGCATAAAAATGGAACATTGGGGAAGTAATTAATTTTTCTTCGTCATAGTCCATTCTTTTGGTTGCCGGTTCCGTCTCTGTTATCTCTCAGCTGGTGATGTTCCTACTCCTACTTTGTCCCACACCGTTTACATAGATTAAGTGCATGCCTTTATGGTCTTATATAAGCGGTGGGCTGCCCTTTGCCTAAAGCATACCTTTCTCGGCCTTTTGGCTAAGATCAAGTGTAGTATCTGTTCTTATCAGTTTAATATCTGATATGTGAGCCATTGGCTCCAACGATATTAACTCTATTTTTTTAACTCTATTTTTTTAAGGGGAAGGCTTATCTAGGCAGCTTGTTGTCTTGGGCTTTTAAGTGTTGCCTTTGGGTTGCACTACTACATAGGTTTGGCACACCCTACCAAATCTAATTCTACTACATAGGTTTGGCACACCCTACCAAATCTAATTAAATTTTAAATAGTAATTATTTTCTAATTACTCAGTGTTGTTATGTTCCAAATAATCTGTTTATTTTTTGAGAAGTAATTTGTTGTTTGTCATGTGGGACTAATGTCTCTTTGATAATTAATTAATATGGAATACTATATTCGTGTGTGAAGCACGGTAAAATTTTATTACAATATAAATTATGAATATTAAATAAAAATGTTTTTTTGGAGCTTGGTATGAAGGGGGTATTCACCGTGAGTACGAAATAATTTGAGAAAAGAATGCCAGTGTTAGGATAAATTGAGACGTATCTATTTTTAATCATATATTGGGTTAAAGGAAATACATGTTTTAGTAATATTTCTCAAACGCAAATTCATTATCACCTTAAAAATAGATGTATGTAAGGTGATTTGAGATGGAACAAATTCTATGGTAGTAACTTTTATGTCAACAAAAAACGAAAATTTTCTTGTTATGAAGATTATTACATTAACTTTTTGCCAGCCTTTCACATAATGCTTAGAAAACTAAATGGAAAATTGCTTAACAACAAATACATAATATTGGCTCAAATAAGGTCATAGAGTAAAGGACTCAATTTTCAAATACAAAAAAGAAATGACTTTAAATAGGAGTAAAACATAAAAAAAATACCAAAATAAGAGTTCTACATTTTTATTCCTCACATAGGAGTTCACAATGTTGTAATGTGACATTTTAGATGTGCATATTATTATACTTTTTGGTAATATACATGATCATCATTGGTAATGTAAATGCATTTTAAGTCTTATTTCGGAAATAAAAACATGAAAGTCTTATTTTGGTATATTTTCAATGTTTTACCTCTATTTTAGTCTATTTTAGTCCTTTTCCTATTTTGCTATATTTTCAATGTTTTGCTCCTATCTTAGTCTTATAAAGTTCTTCATGAAAAATCTAAATATGGGCAAAGTTTATATAGGTTTAATTTTAATTTACTCCCATCTTTCAAAAAGCTACTCCGTACAAATTAAATTTTACATTCTCATAGAAGGAAGAGTCATTGCATTTCATCGCTACATACCTTCAGCACAAGATGGATCATCTGCATGCTCAAATTTGCACATATCTTTATGGGCATTCTTGTTCTAGTTGAGACACTGCTGATAGATTTGGTAACAAAATGAATAAAATTTAGAACAAAGTTATTTTTTCATTACCGGAAAATAAACAAATACTCCCTCCGTCCCATAAAACATGGGACTTTTACTTTTTAGGAGGAATTTAAGGAGAGTGTATTTTGGTACGTAGTATTAAATTTCCAAAAATGTCCTTTGATGTGATGGGTAAAAGTATGATTTGATAGATAGATTATTAGTAAAAAGGTATGATGTGATAGTTAGGGTATGAAAAAGTAAGGGGTAAAAGTGACTTTTTAATAGAAATGAGAAGTGTTTTGTGGGACGGGTAAAAAAAGAAAAGAGAAAGGTTTCATGGGACGGAAGGAGTAATTTATGAAACAATTGTTAAGCACAAAGACATTCATATTCTAAGAAAAAAATTGAATCTTTATGAGGAAATTTTGGCATTTGAACAAAAAGGTTGCAAAAAAAAAAAGTCGTGCCTTTGTTTGTGAGAAAGGACTCGTGTGGGAACTGGATAAATATATATCCATCAAACAAACCAAAATTGTCTTTAAAAGTCACCAAATACGTACGTAAAAGGGGAATTGATATGGCCAAAAAAATGAAGCTACTTTCACTTCGAAAGTCAAGAAAGAGTAAAATAATATAATTGTGATACATTGTTGAGTAAATAAGAGAGGAATACAAGACATGTATTTTAAGATGGAGGAATATATTCTAGAATTATGGATTTTCTCAAACGCAACTGAAGAATTTAGTCTCTTTCAATTCGTTGTATCCCAAAATTTTTACTCCTTGTTATTAATAATAGTACGTGTAGATAAAAATAACTTTTAGAAAAAGTGTTCTCATTAATCAATTGTCTAGAAGATTTACCTAGTTACCTTTAACAACATTGTTCTCTATTACGTGTGGTTTGATCCCTTCATTGGGATATACTTGCAACTTAGAATATACTCCGTAATGTTTTATTTTTTTAAGTACAGTCCCAAGAATAAAATTATTTTTTATTGTTAAAATTGTGAAGCTTCCTCAATGGAGAATGGAGATTCATAATTAGATTGTGTACATGGATTAGTTTGCAAAACTCAATTTTGTCAGCAGGAAACTGTGGCAAAATAAATGTGCCAGTTAAGACATTAAGTAGATGAATGAAGCAATATATGCTTTGTTTGTAAATTAATAGAAAGCCATATAAATTACAGTGGAATTTTAATGCAACGAAGATGATATGGATATATTAGTTCGCACACAAATTCTTTAGGGCATAAAAATGGAACATTGGGGGTAATTTTTCTTCGTCTCGGTCTATTTTTTTGGTTGCCGGTTCTGGCTCTGTTATCTCTCAGCTTGTGATGTTCATACTCCTACTTTGTCCCACACTGTTAACATAGCTTAAGTGCATGCCTTTATAGCCTTATATAACCAGTGGGCTCCCTACCTTTTTAAGCATACCTTTCTCGGCCTTTTGGCTAAGATCAAGTGTAGTATCTGTTTTTATCAGTTTAATATCTGATATGTAGGCCATTGGCCCACACGATATTAACTCTATTTTTTAAGGGGAAGGCCCATCTAGACAGCTTGCTGTCTTGGGCTTTCAAGTGTCGCCCTTGCGTTGCACTATTGCATTGGCCTGGCACACCCTACCAAATCTAATCAAATCTTTTCATTAACTAGTAATTATTTCCTAATTACTCAGTGTTATTATGTTCCAAAGAATCTGCTTATTTTTGAGAAGTAATTTATTGTTTGTCATGTGGGACTCATGCCTCTTTGATAATTAATTCATACAAAATACTATATTCGTGTGTGAAGCACGGTAAAATTTTATTACAATATAAATTATTAATATTAAATAAAAATGATTTTTTGGGAGCTTGTTATGAAGGGGTGGTATTCACCTTGAGTACCAAATAATTTGGGAAAAAGAAAAAGAACGCCAGTGTTAGGATAAATTGAGACGTATCTATTTTTTACCATACACTGGGTTAAAGGAAAAACATGTTTTAGTAAATTTTCTCAAATACAAATTCATTTTCACCTTGAAAATAGATGTAAGGGGAATTGAGATGGAACAAATTCTATATTAGTAAGTTTTATGTCAAGAAAAAAAGAAAATTTTGTTGTTATGAACACTTTTTGCCAGCCTTTCAAATAATGTTTAGAAAACTAAATGGAAAATTGCTTAACACCAAATACATAATATTGGCTCAAATAGAGTCCTACAGTATAGGACTCACTTTTCAAATACAAATAAAAAAAAGAAATGACTTTAAAAAGGAGTGAAACATAAAAAAGTACCAAAATAAGAATTCCACGTTTTTATTCCTCACATAGGAGTTCACAGTGTTGTAATATGACATTGTACATGTAAGAGTTTCACGTTTCTCTCTTTTAAACATATAATGGTTCAAAATTTTATATTTCCATTTTGGAGAAAATGTAATAGTGGAATATCGAAATACAATTTGGAGTACTAATTGGAGTAGTAAATTCCATAATTAGTCCTTTATAACAGGGGGTTTCCATATTTAGTCCTCTATTATCAAATATTACCCTCGTAGTCCTTTTTTTAAGGGTGCTTTTGCACAAATGGTCCTTTTTTTTAATCTTCTGCCATGTTGGTATTAATTTAAAGGCTAAAAGTATAATTTGACATCAACATTATGTCTAGTGACGTGTTCTGATACTGGTTAAGCGGATAACACAAAAATAATGACTATGACTGTGGGCTAGGATTTCGACGAAAGACCACATTTGTAGACTATGGTTGTAGTAGAAAGCAACTGTAATTCACAAACGATGGAAACGGAACAGCTTTTGGAATTGTGTATGAAAAAAAATATATATTATCATTGCAAAATTACACTTTTAGCCCTCAAATTAACACCAACATGATAGAAGATTAAAAAAAGGACTATGTGTGGAAAGATACTCATAAAAGAAGGACCACTAGGGTAATATTTGATAATAGAGGACTAAATAGGGAAACCCCCATGTTATAAAGGACCAATTATGGAATTTACTATATTAATTGAGAAAAAAAGTTGCAAAACAATTTTTTTAGTGAACTATATAAAAAATTAGTGTTATTTTCATAACTTTTGTAATGTATTTTGAAAAAAATATTTGTACTGAATTATCAAATAAATCACAAGTTTTGTAGTGACATTTTGAAAATAATAAAAATAATAATATTGGATTATGGAAAACTAATTTGTATTGTTGCTCAAGGGAGAAAATGAAGTGAGTTATAAAAAAAATTAGTTCCATTTGGAGAAAAAATGTGGTGTGCCATTTCCACAGCTTTGGTAATGTTGTTTTGCAAATTAAAAATTGTATAGCTAGCATTATGGAAAAAAATCATATGTCTTGTAGATGAGAAATATGTGGTGAATGTGAATGCATGTGTGGCAATGTGGCATACAACTTAAATACAATTTGGTGTACCCAATGCTTATGAATAAAAAATTGCGGTGAATGCTGTAGAATATAATATCAACAATCAAAACTTTTTTAGGCCAATCATTCACTTTATTACCTATGTCATTATTTGATCATGTGTTTTATATTCTCTTTGCCTTTTTCAAATTTCAAGAGCCGGATCTTTGAATTTACTGGGTCCATGTGGGAGGATGTAAGTCCGAAGATCTTTTTAATCAAGGGATATGTGTAGAACATGCCATAATGATTTATTACTTGTAATGAATGAAACAATGAATGTACTCTAAAAAATGAAGCTACTTTCACTTCCAAAGTCAAGAAACAATGAATGTAATCTAAAAAACAATCCAAATCCAACACATTTATTTTATTAATCCTTTCCAAGCGTTTGAGTAAATTCTAATCTAAACAAAGGAAAAGGTAAGCAAAACAGATAATGGGGACCTATCTTCTTCTTCTTGCATCTACAGCAACTTGTTTTCAACTGGAGATCAAGTCGGATTTCCTCAGCCAATATTGATTAAACCTTTGTGCTGCATATTCCTTGTAATCAAACTCAATGTTGTTTACATATCCCTGCAAGTCAATTACACAACTCATCGAGGTGGTCATCAGTATTTGCATGTTCCTAGACTTTTTTAAGTTGTTCGCCGACTAATAATATAACAAAAAATAAAATCGGAGAAAATTGCATTATGGAAAACAAAGGCAGACCGAGATGATTCCCCATAAGCCCCAGAACAAGTGGTTAGGAAGGGTGTATCTTTCTGCATCATCAGCTAGCTGTTTCACTTCAGAGTTGCTCACTTGATGGCCTGCACATTTCCATCCAAGAAGGCTACTATAACCATTTTGAGATAGAACCCACATCTCCTTAGTCCTCACCAAAACACACATTTCATATCTGAGCATTGTAATGTTAGGATATATCGTTTGGAAAATGGCACACATTTTATAATGAATTTATTAACTTTTTCCTTCAACATGATTATTCATTTGATCATATGATGTTGATGAGTCTCGTGAAGAACATAGATCGAAATGTATTTTTGACTTTGCTTATGATGTTTGTTAGCGGGTATTTGTCATTGGGTTGTAAATATTGTGTTATCGGGCCTGTACATTTTAGCCCATCGTGTACTTGTATATATATCGGTTTGTGAATAATGAAACACAGAACAGTTTCCGCTAAATTTCTACATGGTATCAGAGCCTAAACCCTAGGCCTTCACGCGTCTCTGCTCTCCGCCGTACGATCGGCGCCGTTTTTCTTGGTTTTTCCTTCTTTGATCGTGGCTTCTTTTCAATAAAGGAGGAAGCATGAGCCTTTTCTTTATTCCTTGAGCAATTTTGTTGTGGAAGCAAGGAATTATTGTGTTTGGCAGTGAGCACTGCACCGATTTCATTGTTGTTCGTTTTCTTTGGAATGGCGACTACCACCAAGAAAACTCGTCTGATTCATGATTCATCTTCTGAATATTATCTCCATCCGTCTGAGGGTCTAGGTAATACTCTGACAAAACATGTGTTAAAGGGAGATAATTTTGATACTTGGGAGAAAACTATTTTCAATGCTTTGAAGGGACGCAGTAAGGCGGGTTTTTTGTCTCCTACTGGAATGCCTAAACCTACCGATCCTACGGAACTAGAGGCATGGGAGGCGAACAACTCCACGATATATGCAGTTGGATTTTTAATAATGTGGATGAAATAATACAACCTAGTATTGCTTCTCATAATATTGTTCATGAATTGTGGTCTGATTTGAAAGCTCGGTATAGTACTATAAACGAGCCCTGAATTTATCAATTGGAGAATGAGTTGCAGAACCTGAGACAAAAGGGTCAAACTGTGGTGGTATACTACAATCAATTTGTCACTCTATGGAACAAATTATATGGCGTGGAAGACCCGACGTGCGGCTGTACATGCACGGCTGCCACCACCCTCCGTGCTAATGCAGAGAAAGCAAAGACACGTAAATTTTTGTTGGGTTTGGATGACGAACAGTTTGGAACCATTCGAGGGCAAATTTTGGGTACTCAACCTCTTGCTGATTTAAACCGCGCATTTTATTTAGTGACCCAGGAAGAGCGTCACCGAAGCGTGGTACGTGCGCGGGATGACCGTACTGATGCGATGGCCTTCGCCACCCCACGCACTACTCCTAATACTTATCAGTGCACTCATTGCGGGAAACAAGGCCATACAGCGGATAGGTGCTATTTAATCATTGGTTTTCCACCTTCTGGTCGAGGACGAGGCAAGATCTCTACACAACGAGGGGGAGGTCGTGGACATCGCGGTGGCCGAACCGCGGGACAGCCGCTGCCCTCCACTGCCGGACAGACTGCCGGGCAGTCTCTACCCACGGCTACTGGACCCACGGCTACTGGACCCACGGCTAATGCAGCGGCGGATGTCCCTCCTTCCCTTTCCGCCATGTCTCCTGATCAAGTTACACGACTATTTTCGATGATTGACTCTGCACCGTCTCCTTCAGATAAACTCCAAGGTATGTCCTTCAGTGTGCCTTGTGAATGGCTTGTGGATAGCGGTGCCTCTCATCACATGACAGGTTTATTGCATTGTTTGACTGATGTTGTACAACGGCCTTCTTGTACTATAAGTTTGCCCGATGGAACTCACGTGGTGGCAAACTCTTGTGGCCGTGTACAAGTGTCCTCTTCCTTGATCTTGCATAATGTTTTATATGTTCCCAATTTGAAGTGTAATTTGATATCTGTGAGTTGTCTTGTCAATTCACATAACTGTCGTGTTTTCTTTGATGATCATTTTTGTGTGATACAGGACCGAACTACGAAGACTCGGATTGGACAATGTGAAGCACGCAACGGAGTCTATGTTCTTCCTTCCCAAGCCCAAGCGTCTAAAGCCGAGTCCGTTTCCTTGTTACACAAGCGTCTTGGCCACCCATCTTCACAAGTTTTGTCTCTTCCTCCATTTAATAAGAGCCATGCTGAAATAAAAAATTTCCAGTCATGTGACATTTGTTTCTTTTCCAAACAGACTCGTTCTAAATTTTCTCCTAGTCTTAATAAAGCTGAGAACTTGTTTGATTTAATTCATTGTGATTTATGGGGTCCATATTCTCCATGTATTTCTACTGGGTCTCATTATTTTCTTACCATTGTCGATGATTATTCTAGAGCTGTTTGGGTTTTTCTCATTATTGATAAAAGTGAGGTCACTGGCTGTTTAAAACAGTTTCTCTCTTATTCAAACTCAATTTGGTAAAACCATTAAAATTGTTCGTTCGGACAATGGTACTGAATTTCTGAATAGGCCCTTACGTGAATTTTACACAAGTATGGGGGTCCTTGTGCAAACTTCCTGTGTGAACACACCTCAACAAAATGGCCGAGTCGAGCGCAAACATCGTCACATCCTTAATGTCGCTCGCTCTCTAATGTTTCAGGCCTCTTTACCTCTTGAATTTTGGGGTGAATGTGTTCGCACCGCCGTTTATCTTATCAATCGTACACCCACTCCATTGTTACAGGAAAAATCTCCATATGAACTCCTTTCTTCAAAGCGTCCAGACTTGTCTCATCTCCGGGTTTTTAGGTGTTTGTGTTTTGTTCGCCATGTTCAGCGACCACCAAATAAATTTTTCCCGAAGAGTGTCAAATGCATGTTTGTGGGATATCCTACGGGTACCAAAGGTTGGCGGGTCTATGATCTTGAGTCTCATCGTTTCTTTCATACCCGCGATATTTCCTTTGACGAGTCCATTTTCCCGTTTTCCACTTCTAAAGATTCCGTCACCCCGGTTACCACCTCCCTTCCTGTACATGCAGATTTCCCCACCCACCTTACTACCGCCGGAAATGCACCCCAACCCACTGCCACCGACAACCTCCAACCCACTGCTTCCTCCTCCGGCAGTGAGTCTCACGGCAGCGAGGGAGGAGTCCACTGATCCAAACAACCCGGTCACTTCTTCGTCCCCCGCCACCTCCCCACCCCAACCCACAAGTCGTATTCGACGTCCCCCTGCCTACCTTTCCGACTACTATTGTCATACCGCCCAGACATCGACTCTTGTTGCTCCTTCTATTGGTCATTCCCGGTCTTCAGGTACTCGGTATCCTATCCATAATTTTGTTCATTATGAGAAATTACATGACAAGTACCGTGGATATCTAGCCGCCGTCTCCTCACACGACGTTCCCAAGACGTTTAAGCAAGCCATGCAGCATGCGAACTGGCGGCTAGCTATGCAACAGGAAATTGATGCCTTGGAGAATAATCATACTTGGGACATCACAGATCTCCCTCCAGATCGGACAGCGTTGGGTTGTCAATGGGTCTTTCGCACTAAGTTTCGGTCTGATGGTACCAAGGAGCGTGATAAGGCACGCCTCGTGGTCTTGGGTAATCACCAAGAATTTGGTACAGACTATACTGATACATTTACTCCTGTTGCTAAAATGGGGACGGTACGCATTTTATTATCTGTTGTTGTGGCTAAACAATGGGAGGTTCATCAGTTGGATGTTAATAATGCATTTTTAAATGGGGATTTAATTGAGGAGGTTTATATGCGCTTGCCACCCGGATATTCTATTCCCGGTAAAGTGTGTCGTCTCCGTAAATCTTTGTATGGGTTGCGGCAATCTCCAAGAAATTGGTTTCACAAGCTCAGCTCTGCTCTTCGTGTTTGGGGCTTTAAACAGGCTCATAAAGACCACACTCTATTTATTTTGCGCCGTGGCAATGATATTCTCACGGTTTTGGTGTATGTTGATGATATCTTGGTTGCAGGTAATAATCCGTCCATGTGTGCCTCCTTCAAACGGTATCTAGACCGTTGTTTTCAACTCAAGGATTTGGGCCCAGTTAAATATTTCTTGGGCATTGAATGTGCCCGATCTCCTGCTGGTATGGTTCTCTGTCAACGGAAATATGCACTGGAAATTTTAGAGGAGGCTGGCTTATTGGGATGCAAATCGGCGAGAACACCACTGCCGACGACGCATGGTCTCGCCACTTCGGCAGCGCCTCTCCTCCACGATCCAGCGCGCTACCGTCGTTTGGTCGGTCGCTTGATTTACCTCACCATCACCCGTCCTGATCTTTGTTACTCTGTTCATGTGTTATCTCAGTTTATGCAGGCACCTACTCTTGATCATATGAATGCCGCTATGCGTGTCCTACATTATCTCAAGGGTCACCCTGGTCAAGGTATCTTCCTTAGCGCCACGAGTAATCTTCAAATTACAGCTTATTGTGACTCTGATTGGGCAAGTTGCCCACTCTCCCGTCGGTCAGTTAGCGGGTATTTCATTATGCTTGGTAATTCTCCTGTGTCTTGGAAGACTAAGAAACAGATCACTGTGGCGAGGTCATCTGCGGAAGCCGAATACAGAGCCATGGCCAATGCATGCGTGGAGATACGTTGGATGCACGGTATTCTTGGCGCGTTAGGCGTCCCCATTTTATATCCTCCACGGCTGTATTGCGACAATCAATCAGCCTTATACATTGCAGCAAATCCAGTGTTCCACGAACGTATGAAGCATATTGATGTTGACTGTCATACGGTTCGCGAATCTGTTCAGCGGCGTGAGGTGTCTACACGATATGTTCCTACACGCTACCAGTTAGCAGATATTTTTACAAAACCCCTAACAAAACCAATATTTGATTTTTTATTGTGCAAGTTGGGCATTCAGGATCTTCATGCGCCAACTTGAGGGGGAGTGTTAGCGGGTATTTGTCATTGGGTTGTAAATATTGTGTTATCGGGCCTGTACATTTTAGCCCATCGTATACTTGTATATATATCGGTTTGTGAATAATGAAACACAGAACAGTTTCCGCTAAATTTCTACAATGTTAGACGCACAAAACCACTTCCAAGTTCCAAGGCACAAAGTTCTAAGAGAGACACAACTGGTGATGAGTAAAGTTGAAAACTCATGGTGAAAGTGGCCCATTATTCTTGTGTCGTTTATGATTTTTTCATACATGTCAACATGAAAAAAAGTCACAAGGCTAAAAAATTGTTTTTTCCTCCAAACAAACGAGATGAGTGCTCATCAAAATTCTCCAAAGATCACATTTCCCATGTAAACATTTAGGCACATATCGGACATAAAAAATAGAAAGAGAGCCAGAAAAGCTAACCTGTGGAACTAAGATAAGAGTGTATAAATCTATGACGCTCCTCTGGACCTGTGACAAACAATAAGGTTTATATGAAAACTTGTTATAAAATACAAGCCATACTTTTTTTTATCATGGGACCATATTACGTTCCGGATTTTTGGATACCAATATGATTGCCAAAGAATAATAAGACATTCATTTTACTAACAGTACCAATACAACAACTTACCAGGGTACTTTGAATAGTCCAAAACATGTGGAGTTTCGGTGTGATAATCCGCTGCCATTTCACAGAAGTGGTTTGCAAAGTCATAAGCAATTGGATTGTAACTCGAATACTCGTAATCCTGTAAAAAGATTGAAAAGAGATGGAATGATGCATTAATTCAAACACAAAACACCAATGGGGAACGTCCTTATAAGCATCGTATGGCTGCTCTAACAATGGCACTTACAATAATGGTAATGGATCTTGTCCGCTCGTCAAACATCATATTTCCATATTGCAAGTCATTGTGACAGAAACCAATCATTGGTGAATTCCTTGATAGTTCCTCCTCTAAAATGGCAATTTCCTTCTCACAATCATCCAGCTTAAATTCTTTTCTGTCTTCTGGGGAACACAAACCTTTGGCCTTGCCTAGCCAGTCCCTGGGGAAGAAGATCAGCAGTGGCTAGTAAATGAGCCTAAACTTTTATCAACAAAACTGGTTTATCTTGTGAACTGATGATAAATTTCTACCTCAATCTATCCCAAAGAACAACACTCTTTGGAGAAGGCATCCCAATGTTATGAAACTCTCTCAATTTGACTGCTATTAAAGAAGAGATATCTGGATCCCTGAGGTCACTGGCTGAGAGTGTCTGGAAATGGAAAGTGATAATGCAAACTACTAAGTGGTCTTAAAAGGCCTTCTCAAAATTCAGATAACAAAAAAACAACTCACTGTGTGGATTGCCATAGCATTTACTACGTATGAAGTAAACATTTCAGTTCTAGTGGCAACATGCAAACAACTTTTGGGAGAACATAGAGGATATGAAAGATCAATGTCAAAAGAGAAAACAGATTACAAAGTAACATCGAATCAACGATCTTCAACATACCCTGACATCAATAAACTCTTCAACGCGTCCCCAAGGGAACTGGCCGAGAAGGCGAGGTCCAAAACCTTGCTTGGACACGTACTCAAAAGCCCGAATTTCATCCTCCCTGCTAAACAAAAGGTCAACTCCCTCACCATAGACCCGAACCAAAACATTCCTGGAAACATTTTCCATCTTTGTAGGCCAGCTTATTCTATATACCAGATTAGTCATTGCTCCACTCAAATGGACAACCTTCAAACTGTTCAAATCCAAATCATCCCCCCAACTTGAAGCCAGAGAAGATAGAAGCGTTATCGATTCCCCAGGTAGACTGCCTTTCTTAAGTCCATTCATCTTGAATTCCATCAAGGGCACCTAATTTATAAGTAAAAACTGAATTAGTAAAAACTACTCTCGCAGAGATATATATATGATAATATCATCAAGATTCAAAATGGATTTCATAAAGAATTAATCGGAAAACAATTATCTTCGAGAAATTATCAAGATACGGAGTAATAGCTTATTTGTGATCGTTAAAAAACAATCAGAAACACTCCATCTTCCATTGAAATATCGAAACACGAATGCAGGAGAAGACAAGTGATCATAAAAACAACGCCAGATAGGAAAAAATAAATTGAACGAGCGAAATTTGCCCTTTTTTTTTGTAGGGATTTAAATCTCAGAAGAAAAACAGAGAAACGGAAATTCATCTTACCGGAAACGCATAAATCAGTTCTTAAAAAAAAAAGAGAAAAGAAATTATGGAGCTAGAAATTACTACCACAGTTGAGCTAGAAAAAATTATGAGGAGATAAAGATTTGACAAGCCCAATTGGGCCTTTTCAATTCTCGCGGAATGTCAGCTTATCCTGCGGCAAATATTGGGCCTCAGAGGCCTATAATAGTTATCTCCCATGGATCAATTAATTGGTATCAAAAGATTAAATATTTTCTCCGTTTCTAAAGGTTAAATATTTTCTCCGTAAAAATTACTTTAGTAGAAAATTGAAATAATATATTACTTTAAAATACTATATGAAAAGGTTTATAAAGTAATTAGTGACAAGAGTATTTTATTTTATCAAATTATCGATGAAAATGTATATAACTAGTAGAATTAAATTGATATGTGAATAGTAACAAAGAGTTTTTTTTACAGAAGGAGTACAGCTTTAATCAAAAATTACAATTACGATTTTAATTCCTAAATACTACTTCATCAGTTTTGAAATAATATTCTTTCTTTTCTTTTTGAGCGTTCCAAAATAATCTAGAACTTCTTTAGGGGGAAAGCATTATGTATTGCATATATAAATATATTACTCCCTCCGTCCCAATTTAAATCGCCTGTTTTGACTTTTGGGCATATTTAAGGAAAATAAAAAATAGAGTTGATTTTCCGAAATTGACATTACTTTTTAGGAGGGATGATGATGAATGAGAAGATAAGATGAAGAAATGTGACTTATTTTAGGGGTAGTTTAGGTATTTTATTTTTAAAAGTTTACGAAAACAACTAACAGGCAACTTATTTTGGGACGGAGAAAAAAGGCAAACAGATAATTTAAAATGGGACGGAGGGAGTACAATTGAATACGTAACTAAAAGTTGTCTTGGATACCATTTTCTTAAAATCTTGAACTACAATTAGATTAAAAACTCCAATGTATCAATTGGAGATATTAATCATAAATCACAACACGTATTTACAACTCCTAGCACATTCCTATTTTGACAAACCACAACTTCTATTTTTGTACACAGTTACCCATCCCGTCACAAAGAGTTTCACATATTTCCTGCGCTGTTACAAGTTTGAATAAAAAGACGCGTTCTATTTTGGGCAAAAATCTTGGTTTTTAACAAAGTTTTAATTAAGCAATTTATTGTTGTATATTAATTTTGAGAAAATTAAATCTAAACATTGTTATTATATACTCCGTAATCTTTTTGAAAATATCAAATTAGGAGTAAAGCATTACAAAAATATCAAAATAGAAATATCATATTTCTATTTCCAAAAAAGAATTATAATCCTAACAATGTTAATATATTACATAAAAAACACTATAAAATACTAACATGTGGTCTCAAATTATTACAAAATAATAATTTTATTTTATAATTAAAACATGAAATTCTATTTTGATATTTTCTTTATATTATATTCTTATATAGGATAAATTTCTTTAATTTTAAAGAAATTAAAGTGACACATCTAGACGTTAAGGCATCTCCACGTTAGAGGATAGACCCAAAGGCCGCCGTATAGTTTGTCGCCTCCGTAATCCGTCCACAAAGGCAAGATCGGACCAGAATCCAGAATCAACCACTCTTCTTCCCGGCTGTGTCCCATTCTATCCCTCTCCCCTTCACGGGAAGCTACTGCAAAGAAACCTAGCGCAAGAAAAGTATAGCATTCTTAATTTATTAAAATCCCTGATTTCATCGCCCCCAACGCCTTGTGCGGAACTCGCCGGAATTTGACTGACGGACTATTATCGGAGTTATCAATAATCAGCGAAAGGGAAAAGATATTTAAGATTGAATTTTTCGTTTTTCATTTTCAAAAGGGTTTCTTCTATCATCAAGATGGGGAAGAAACGGAAATCTCTGGCGACGAGCCTGGATGAGGTGGATCGGACGATGTATTCATCTTTCTGCAGCGCCGCTAACTCTCTTTCCCAGCTTTATACTCAATCCATGAATCAACAGAAGCTCTCGTTCCAAGCCGGCGAACGCGAAGGGCTGGTAACTACACCTCTCTCCGCCGCAATGAATAAGAAATATCATAGATGGATTGGGCAAATTTTAAAAAAGAGACGTTTTTTAATGATCTGGCTCGCTTGATAGTATTCATGAACAATTGGACACATTTTTCTCTTCTTCTGAATATGTATGTTAGTTTGGGATTGAAAGGGAATTAGATTGGCTCTGACATTCTGTTGATATTTCAACTGAAGTATGTTTTATTCGTTTTGTTAGTGAATTTGATGATTGGGTATTCAAGTCTTGAACCCAATTCTCTTTCAAATGTTATAATATTTTCATTGTGTGGCTTGTTTTGCCTCTTGTACATCTAGACAGAGAACCCTCTGCTTTTCTGATGATATTTATCACACATTATGCCTTTTGTTTGCAAACATTTTAGAATAATTTGAATTAATCTCTATTGTTGGTTACCTCTAGAAAATGTAAATGATCTATCAAGTATGATGAAAGCTTTATCTTTTACGGAGTAATATATGAAGGAGCCAAACTAAGTTACACTAACTTTTTTCCCTTCTGTATTGTATAATAGGATAAGTTATATCAGTGGATATTGAGGCTTCAAGATGGAGGATCAAGAGTAACCACAGTTGACATTCTGAATTACCTTCAGGTTCCTTTACTTTTCGTTTCTTTTTTTAAAAAGAAGAATTGAGATTGATTGTACATCCTATGGTTAAGAGATATCTTATATATAGGATTAAAACATCTACTCTGTAGAAGATCGTTTGCTCTATTAATTGTTTGCTGCGCTATGGTTGTTAAGATAAAATGTCTGCAACATGTAGAAGAATTAAGATTTATTGTTTGCCCTATAGTTTTTGAGGGTTTCCACATGTTGCAGATATTTTTTCTTAAGCTTGACGTGCACGTGCCTAACATTCAATACAATTGCCTTGAGGGAAATTATTTTTTCTCTCTTTTCTCTTTTCCTCATTCCTAGCTTGTATGTCTATACCCCTTTCCCATCCCCATTTCCCGTTCTCCCTCTTCTCTTTTGCTCAACCTACATTTGCCCTAACCTGCCTCAGCCCCAAGTCTCAACCCCTCAGCCTATCTTTCTCATTCATGCTTAGTTTTTTTGTCTTCCCTGCACTTAGTTTTTGATTATTTTTGCTTTTAAAAGCATTTTTTATTAATTTTTTATTGAATCAAGAAATATTTATTCTATTTAATATTTTATATTGTAATAAATTTGTTATATAAATAAATATTTTTTAATAATTATTTTCTTCTACAAACATTTTTTAAAAGAATAATTATAATTTTATTTCAATTAGTACTCTCTCCCCTAACTTTCTTCCAAGCAAACAAGAGACTTCAACATCTCTTCAATTCTCTATTCCATTTCTTTCCAACCAAACAAACCAATGGAAGTTGAACTTCCACTCAATTTCTTTCCTCTTCATTTCTTTCCTCTCCACTTACACCCTTTGCCAAACACACTGTTAGTGATGGTGACTTTCATGATTTACACACATTCATATTACAATTTAGTAGGACTTTCTTAGTATACATCAAGTCGTTTTCCTTTACAATTTTACACGACAATGTGAACCTCTGTTATGTTGATAATATCTTAAATACTTGGTGCATTTGTGTAAAATTATTTCTCTGTTTTCTATTTGTTTTAGCTTTTTCTAGAAATAAAAACACAAAAATGGGGTTGTATTTGGCAGTCTCAGATTCATAAAACTAAAATATAATTTTGGATTTTGTTGGAAACATGTCTTAATTGTACTTGTTTTGATTGGTTTTGTACTTGTACATGTTAGTGTTACCAATTTCACATTTTTTTTAGATTTTTCATTAAAAACTTATATTTTCATCATAAATAATACTAGTACTTCTTATGTTTATAAAAGAGTAATTTACTTAAATAGGACTAAAACATAATGACTTTCCCAATATAGGACCATATGTTTTTATTTCCCAATGTAGGACTTTTGGTCATTATGAATTAGTCATTATTCAAGTAAATATCCATTATTACTGGACATTATTCCTCCCACTAAGACATTAATAAGTCCTATTTAGGTAATAAAAAAATTTAAGTCCTAGATTAGGAAAGTCATTATGTTTTAATCCTATTTAGTGCAAATTTCACTTTATAAAAAGAGTCCTCCTTCTCAACATATTTTGCCCCATAAAAAGACTCAAATTTGAAGAAAAGATGGTTGTTTTATCATAACAAATGTTTTTAAATAAAAAAAAGGTCTCACAAACAACTTAAATATGTTAAAAGTGGTGGAATTCATAAATAGGTTTTAAAAAAATATCAACATTTGTTGATTTTACCTATCATATCTCTCTGAACTTTAAAATTCTATATTGGAGAAATATATTAACTCCTTTTATGGGATACGAGGATTATAGACGGTCAAACCCACCTAAACCTGCCGTCCCAGCAGGACCAACCAAACCCCTCTTTTTTATTTTTTATTATTTTTATATCTAAAATACAATGTTTAAGGTGGGATTTGAACTCAAGACCTTACAGATATACCAAGTGCTTTCAACCACCTAGGCCAGTGGGTTTGTGTTGTTACAATGTGTATATATGGTGTATCAATACACATTCTGAAAAGAAAAGGTTTTTGCAACTTTATAAAAATGTTAGTTGTAAGATTTAAAATCATGACCTCAAGCACCACACTTAAGGATCCTACCGCATGAACTATTACTACTAGTTGACTCATTAATGTTAGGCATTTTAGAAATATATCTATAATCAGTCTCATGTTTTTTGTTAAATATAATAAAAAAAAGAAAATAAATATGAGTTACTAATAATTACTCCGCAATTGCATTATTTACTAATGGAAATTGATTTTAGAATAGAAAAGGGCAATTAAATTTAAAAATCATTCTATTATAATGAGATTGTTGAAGCTTTTGGATGTTTTAATCATTTTAATTTACTAGTATAACTTTGTGTTGTCATCATTTTAATGGTATCTTATTGTTATTTTAAAACTGTGTTGGTGTGGAGTATATATGAATATTTGTCATTCTACTGTAACATTAGGCATTTATAAAATATGGTCCAACCTCGTTTAATCAGTCCAACCAATAAATCCTTGATCTAGTCACCTATCACGTTCTTCGCTCGATCTGATTTTCAAAACATCTCTTAAAGTAGAGGCATTTTGGTTCATCATATATGGCTTATTAGGGCAATGTTAGTATTTTAAGTTTGGTAAGGTTTAATTTGAGTTGCTATCAGGAATTTAGTGCCATTTTCCTATTACAAATTCCTTATGGAACCCTAACCCTATAAATCATACTCTTTCAATTAATTCTACATACCTTTTCAATCAAATGTGCTTGTTATCATAATTCTTTGTTGTTCTCTCTTAAATCGTAATCTCTCCAGTGGTTTTCCTACATCAATTTCAAATTTTCAATATTTTGAATAGGCTTTTGAATGAATTTGTTTAAGCCCTTTGAATCTTACTACCTTTAGTACTCTCTGGCTTACCTAATGTCCTAACCACTGCACAAGAAATCTTTGGTACTCCGTCTGTCCCGCAAAGAAGTCTACTTTTTCTTTTTAAGGAAGTGAATATGTGGCTCACAATATTTCTTTCTTTCAAAAAAATTCTAATCACCAACTTTTCACTTTCAAATACTTTTCTTAAACTACGCAAAGTCAAATAGGTAACTTCTTATGGGACAGAGGGATTATGTGTTTCCTACCCACAAGCTAACTTCTTTAACTTCCAAAATGTCTTGTACAACCTCTGCATGTCTTTTAGGCACATTAGAACCGATCCTTTTCAGCACCCTGCATTTCCCCAAACTTACGGAAAGTGCTTCTACAAAAACCTCTCTTTCCATGAGCATATTTCTGGTTGCTACCTTTGATGGCAACACAAACCTCTTCAAATATCTGCTTAACATGATCAGCAAAAAGCTTTCCTGTGCGCACTTACTCAAGCGTCTTGAGTTAGTTCGCTTATATCTATACACAACTTCAATAAGTGTATTTTTTTTTTAATAGTTTGGTTGACTGCAATGTTAGAAGCCAAGTTCTGCTTCCAAGTATGATGCATTTCGTACAACTTCATTGCATAATTTACAGGTGGGAATGGCTTTCTCAATTTTGCCTTCCTATATCACAATTTTCAGCTTGCCTTCCATGGACTATTTAATCTATATTAGGGAATGAGTTGGGCTTAACCTGAAGCTCTTCTCCATATGAAGTTGGAATTAAGGTGGTCTTGATGATGATGATGTGAGATGAACAAAATGGTCATCACGGCCTAGTATTTGTTTTTCCTGCAGTGTGTGTGTGTGTGTTTGCGTGTTTAATGTAGTTTGTCTGGTTGACAATAACAGGCAGAATTAAACTATGGGGAGGAGCAATCGGTGTCACCCAGGCCACCACCCCACACAAGCCCACATTCACAGCCAATGCATGTCACAAACACGGCATCTTCAGCTTCAACTGCTTTGCCATCTGGTGCTGTGCAGGGAGGGGTTCGAGCCGACCATTATTATGAACAGCAATCAAAGAATAATGTTTTCTCCAATGCTCTGTCAAGTCCCATCCGCCGAAGCCTTCAAAACTATCACCTTGCTAGGGGAGACTGCTACTACTCATCAAGCCATGACCACCCTCCTGCAAATGTAGTCATCATAAAGAATGGTGAACCTAATCTTCAACACCAAAATAGGGACTCTAATTATAATAACAGCAGTAATAATGGTTATAACTCTAACGATACCTCCATGGATATGCATGCCGAAAGTCCAGTTCATGAAGCTCCGTATTGAAGAGTTCCTCAAGTATAATGCTGCTATTTGTTCATTTGTTATTATCATCATTATATAATTTATAAAGAAGTAGAAAAGATCTGTTTGCTTCTCTTGGGATGTGGGTGTTGTAGTTTAAGTAGATTCAATACAATCTTTTGCAGGTTTGGGGTGGGGGGTGGTGGTGGATGATGAATCTTTTTAAAGCAATGTTTGTGGTAAAATGCCAAACTCGTGGAATATCAATTACTCTGTAATATTTTCCTCACCTGATTTTGTGTTTAAATTTCACAAAATTTAAAACAAAACTTTTGTGGGATGGAGGTACTCTCTCTCTCTGTTCCTGAAAATTTTTCTCATTTTTTGTTATCCGTTTTTTTTTTAAAAACTCATTTATATTAAAAAGTTACATTTATCATACGGAGTATTAATTTTTAACAACCCTATCACAATCACATCTACTCCTTCCGTCCCCCTGTATTTGTTCACTTTCATTTTTATACACCATCCAATACACTTCTTTAATCCATTTTATCTTGTAATTTATATATTAAAAAATTATAAAAATTATATATTAATAATCTATATGTTAAAACAAATCAAACAAGATCGCACATGACTATATTTAGGCTTACACATTGAGAAAATTTGATGAGTCAAAGTGCTTATATGAACAGTTTCAAAAGTCAAATGTAGACAAATACAGATGGACGGATGGAGTATTCATTATTAATTCTCTGCTCATTTTGTTACATTTTTTGTTAGCATTGTACACTTAACATCGTGAGTTCAACTATACTATGGTAGCGTTTCGTTTAATTTATTTTTTCTGTTTATTTCTTATTCTTATATAATCAGATCAGATCAGAAATAATTTTAATTATAACTGCAATTAGATCAGACTAGATTAAATCTTCAAAAAATCATATCAGATCAGGCGAACAAAACACTGCCTAAATTGCCACGACATGGTTTAATTTCATTTACTCCGTTTTATAAGGTCAATACAGAGACATAAAAAGTGCAGATAGTGAAAAATCTTGAATATGCAACAGAACCTGAGATATTTCAAAAGTTAATTATTGCTCCGTATATTACATTATTTGAAAAGAAAAATGCTAGGGGTACACCAAATGTGTACCCCATTTGTCCCACACCATCTCCTTGTCTACAAAAAAGGGCAAGAAATTCAAAAAATAAATAAATAAATAAAACTAAAATAAAAATAAGTAGTGAAGAAGTGAGTGGTGTACATTTGGGGTACACTAAAGGTGTACCTCTAGCATTGCTCTATTTGAAAAAGATGTCTATTGAAGTGTCTACCAAGAAAAAAAATTTACGGAGTATAAATAGTTACACAATAAGAGAAAAAAATCAGGCATGAATTTTTAAAAGACAATTAGCTTCAACATTTTTTACGATAATTCATTTTTGGAATATTATTCAAGTTAAATTATACGGAGTAATATCAAGATGCGGATCAAATCATATTTTTACATATCACATCCAATTACATTTTTAGAAACTCAATATCAAAATAATATACTTTCCTTAAGTCTCTGAAAAATTAAAATCTTACATATTTTTAAGGACAGAGAGAGTATATGTTTACTCGAAGTATTGTTCAATCGATGGACCAATTGATCACTTTCAATCTTAATACACTAATTTTTGTACTCCAACTTGTACACTATTGCACATACACACAAATAATTATTGTCTGTGAATGCAAAAACAACAATATCTATATGTGTTTGTGACGGGCTATCTACAAGTTGGAGTACAAAAATTAGTTAGCTCTTGGCATTTGGCGCGGACAAATGCATCCTCAACAAAAAAAGACAATTTGAAAGTTGGCCCCTACTATATGCCTTTATAAAGTTTAAAAACAAATAATTAAAGTACTACGGAGTATTGGTGGAGTATATATTCTTTTATCTTCTTTTTCTTTAATCTATTCTTTTATCAAACACTAGACAGAATTTATACTAAAAAATGCACTACTCAGAAAAATAAAAAATATAAATTTATTTTAATTTTCTTTTTCTATACAAAAGAATAAAGAAAATATGAATTTGATTTTGGAAGTATCATCTTATTTACTCCGTACTATTTTGACTTTCTGGTAACTTTCGTTCAATTTTATGTTTTCATTGTTTATTTAATGTCACACCTAATTTTACATAATTTTTATGTAATTTTAAAAAATATAATTCATGTTTTTTATTTCTATAGTAATTTATATTTAAAATAATTTTAAAAACAATTTGATTTTACACATTATTTGAAATTGGACAATATTTGTAAGACGGACGAAATAAGAGCAATTGCAATGACGGAGGGGATTTGTGCCGCGCCGGAATTGATGCGGAGATGGACAGGCGGCCGCCCACCGCAACAGGCTGCCGCGCCGGTCCGTGTGATTTTGGTCATGGGTGAAATTGAAGAAAAGTTTGATTCTTTGAGAGGGTGGGAGAGATGGCAAAGAAGCCTGAAGAAAGGTTTGATTCTCGACGCGAAACTGTGGATTTGGCATTGGATCTGGGTTGTTGGGGACCGTCAATTTGGGCGGGCATTGGGCAAAAATTGGATAGTTGATTTTCATATTTTTTTATTACTTCCTAATATTTCTTCATACTTAGGGGGTGTTTGTTTTTTCTGCAGGAAAAGTGGTGGACCGAAGGTATGCGGTCTGCAAGAAGAAGACTGTTTGTTTTTTAATGTCTGTAGATTGCTATATAAATTAATGGTAGTAGTGTACGGTGGTGGTGTATGGACGATTGTGGTGGTGGTGGAGGGTGGTGGTGAAGGGTGGTGGTGGACGTTGACGGCGGTAGTGGTGGACGGTGGTGGTGGTGG